CGTAAATATGATAAAATCTTTATTTCAATCACGTCAAGAAACACTACGTGTTTTCTTTTTTATCTTCAAAGTTGCTCCGAATTTTCTGAATTCTGACTATTCCTAGATCTACTTTACGTATCTCGCTTAATTAACACTGTAGCGTGATATGATGGTAATATGCGTGAGAGTATGGTGCGCGAGTAGATGGCCGATAAGGATGTGAGAAGGTGCGAAAAGGTTTAGAAGCGCGAAACGAGGAGCGCTGAATGAATGAGTGGGAGGGGAAGAGAGTCCTGGCCGAGGGCACGCGAGCGGGGAGCGGTATAAAGAGGGAGGAAAATGAAAAAGGCGACACACAGAAGTCACGCTCCAGAATTCGGCTCCGGAGTAAAAGAGGAAGTAGCGCCGGTAGAGTCTGGTTGAGCAGTTGCAGACCTGAACGATCCGATCCGGAGCACGAGGGGTCAAGCCAAGTATCCAGAGACCTCACCCCTGACTGACCGGACATTGGGGCATGCTGGATCAAATTGGAGAACTTCTGTATGGATGGAGGCACGCACTGCTGACGTGGTTGACGCGACTGAGGCGGCCCTTCCGGAGTAACGCACAGACAACAAGATACGTATCTCTTCCTTCCAGCGACGTCTCTCACACTCGAGAAGATCCAATACGCGGAAGCGCAACGCGATACACGCGAATTGTAATACATTTTAAGTACGTACGAGCGAATTATATTGGCGGAGGATTCGAGCAACCGAAATGAACATTCCGTGACCGTTGCGATATCTATTATTCGGACCATGAGGTACGCGAACCTCTTATCAGTCAGGGTCGATAGTGTTGCGAATTCTTGGGACTGTCGATGATTTAATGTTAATATATGGCATAGTTGTCTCAAAGGACTAAATTTGTATTCTGTTAATATATGCCTCTCCTCGATCCCAGAACGAAAAGACTTTCGTAAGCGTAGATAGATCCGCGTCTGTACTCTCTACCGTTAATCGCTAATGATTTCGAACATAATGAAGAAGATAAATAACCTCAGTTAACGTTACAACACTTAATTAGTTTTAAATTTCATTTGCATTATAATATCCTAAACCATGACGTCCTATAATTTTATAGAATTAAATAAATTTAAAAAAAAAAAAATTTATATAGTAAAATAAAATTTCAATGCGAACAGAATGTAGAATACGTGATAAATATGTGAGAGAGTAGACGATTATGAATTCTAAATTCTCAGACTGCGCGTTCCACTTTTCTTCTTGTTTTTAAAATCACAGAATTTGGCCTAATAATTGCAAAAACTGTCGGAATCTTCATGACCCAATCATGGTGTTCATCAGACACAATTGCAAAAAGTTAACTCCGTGGATACATCAAAACGCCGTAATTCCACGATTCTGATAGCAGTTATGAGCGACGGAAGCCAGAATCTCCGCCATCGCCTTGCCGGTCTCCTGCACCATGCTCTTCAGGTAACCCGTGTCTTTTTGCAGCAGCATGTGAGGATGATCTAATTCCTGCGTACGATATATACAAGTTCGCAGTTTAAGAGATAGTTTATATCGAGACTATTATAAATAAAAAAGGAATGGAGCATTTTCTTAACGTAATCAGTATTAGTTATATAGTCAAAGATTTTGTAATTCTGTATCAACTAAGTGGTTTACTCAACAAAAACTTTAATAAAACAATGCAAAAATGATCATAGGTTAAATTGGCAGGATTCATAAAATAAAATATTTATATAAATCCAGTTATAATTTATGTTACTTTAAAAGATCGTAAATAAATTTCATAATCTGGAAAGAGAAGTACAAAATGTCACAAGAATGACCGATAAATTCATAGTTACATTGATTTTTCACAACCACAGAAAGGAAAGATTTTGTGACCTACTTAAATTCATTCGATGGGTCGCTCTAATTATAAAACCCTTAAAAAGACAAAAATTCTTAAAAATTGACTCACCACCACGTTTCCGGCGTCCATCACCAAGATACGATCGCTGTCCATAACGGTGTTGAGTCGATGA